TACTGGAATCTAGTTCCTTTTTGCTTATTAACTCTTTAAGCCCTATATAGCTAAAAACCCCAAAAGCGGCCAAATGAACAAGAAATAATATTACGGCCCATAAATCTACGCATAAATGCAGGATAAATTTTGAATTCGTTTTTAACCTTTATTTGTGTAGTCATTTTTCCTCATTCTATAAAAATATATATACCTTGATACGAAGGTTTTTTATTCCATTTTTCTGCCACTACACTATGAACGGGCCCTTGATTATAAGGACCTTGAGCGTAGGGATTTGCATATTCGCTATCTTGAACTTGAGCGTAGGGTGGAGATTGAGCGTAGGGAGGAGGATAATACTGCTGTGGTGGTGGATAATGCTGACTCATTTCTATGAAACTGTGAATAAAGACGTGCCTCCGTCAATGGCTGTTTAAAAGGCTGGTGTTTGTTATTTAAAAGAAACAAGTTTGGAAGCAAGCCACATGACATTATTTGTTTTTAGGTTAAACTTAATTTGTATAAATGAATAAAAATCATACTATTATTATTTTTGTTAGCAGACATTAAATAAGATTTCTTTAAATAATAAATAAAAATATTATAATAAAAATAATTAAAATAAAAAATAAATTTTTAATTACAGTATATAATATATTTTTTATTTAAATATTATATTATTTTTATCTAATTTTAAAGTAAAAAATATAATAATATAAAACTTTTCTATTTAAACTATATTTGATATTGTAATAGAATATTTTATTTTATTTAAGCAAAAATTATTACATTGAATGAGCCTAATAAAAAACAATATAAAATTAAATAAAAATTTTAAGTAAAATATTATAATTATAAATAAAGAATATATTATATATTCATATTAACCATATCAACAAAACCATACTTTCTAGAAATCTTATAATCATCTGACAAAAACACAAAGTTTCACTCAAGACAACTTATTCTATTATTACAAATTAGCCTTCTCCATTTTTATCACCCGTAGATTTTTCCACATCACTATTTATAAACCATATCAATGCAACCTCCATAACATATTGAATCAAATTTGGTAATTTATATACAAATCTATATGACCTTATTCTAAGTCAATCAGCTTATTACAAGCCAACTCTTTTGATCAATTTGAAAACATTATTAAAGCTAACAAAAAGCTCAAAAAAGCGGACCAAACTAAATTTAGATGCCTCTCTACCTTTTGTACTAAACTAATAGCAGATCAACTTCCAACAAGGTCAAAGCTTTACAAAAGATATCTCACATTATACTTAGATAATCTTTATCCCCATTGCGATATAAAAGAGGAAACCCAGGAATATATTATATATTGCCTTTATAACAAGAGATATCTCAATAAGAAAAAGCCTAAACTCATGAACCTCATTTAATCTAGCCAAACAAACAATAGTTTCATAAATAGCAATACACATCAACCTATTAGCACAAGCTTCTTAATCGAGTCCCATATTTTTTAAATGGTATTGGAAAATTACTTCCATTCATTCGACATTATTAATAAAAACAAAGAGGATATTTCAAATAAAGCATTAAAAATATTATACAAGATGTAGAAACAAAGATCTAAAACTGTAACTACCTTTCCTACCGGTGAAATAAAATAAAAGAAAACTAAGCATCTGTCTAATCACCACAAACCAAAAATAATAACAGTGTCTTCAATGCTATTCTAAATATACTAGTGTCAAATCATTAAATACTAACAAAAATATATTCTCCACTACATCAATTTCTTTGTTCTGAATGAGCATTAGCCATTTGGCAATAACAGTGTCAATCCACTCATGTAGTGTTAGTTGATAATGTTATTTTAGTTGCAATAGGCTACAATTAACTTACTGTTGTAAAGATTGTTAATGTAATAATTATAAACAATTGTTTAATAAAAATCTCACATTTAATATTCATTTACAAAAAAAAAAAAAAGAATATATTATATATTGAAAACAATAAAAATAATAGTTTTTTTTTTATATCTGATATCAAAAAAACTATTTTTTCTTATAAATAAAACAAAATATTGAAACTTTGCAATAAGCTTGATCAATATAATAAAATAGTAAAATCCATTATTGAATTTTTTATTAAATAAAAATAAACTTTTTAATCTTTCAAATTTTTTTTTAAAAATTTT